GCAGGCTTCATGATACTGTTTATGTCATGACATACTGTATACACAGAGAGTTTTGTAAAACATTAAATAGTTTTGTCAACAACTGATGTCAGTAGAATTATAATTAGATTTGTTTATGAAATCTATTATACAGATAAAATCAGATGTTTTCCTCTGTGCTGATTGACATGTAGAAAAACTGTGTACTCTGCCTTGCTGCATTTTGCTGCTTTAAAAAATAAATTACAATATGGAAATAACACTGTAGCTGTGTTTCTTGTATTAATTTTAGGTCCAAAGGCTGTATTTAAATTTGAGTGTATATGATAATTTGATTTAGTTTTCAATTAGTTGAGGTGTTCTGCTGAGGAATAATATATAGCAAAGGAATTTACTCCTCAAGGCAGATGGGAAGATGGGATAGTTTAACCATTAATGAGGTTTCTGAAAGAGAGATAGTATTGATAAATCTCTAGTTACATGGTTGTGATAATTTTTACTGTAAATTTTCAGTTTAGTTTAACTGTTGAAAGCTGTTGTGGTTCGTAAGTCAGAAGCCTGTACTGATGGTACGTGGCATAATTTGACATGCTGTTTTTTGGTAAACTGACACCTGATAGAGGATGTATTTTAAATACATGCATGGACAAGTTGTAGGTTTTGTGATCTTAAGCCATGACATAAGGAGATAATTTTGGATTATGTAATCTAGGGCATGCTTGATAGAAGTGGCCAAACATATAATAAACCCAAGAAATTATCCAGCATTTCTTCCTCTGATACCACCCTCTTCCTGTTTCTTTGGCCAGTGTATCTCGCAAGGGAATGGGCCAGGGCAAGCAAAACTTGGTGCTTCCAGCTCTTTGTTCCAGCTGCCTCATTCTCTCCTCTTTCATTCAGTCCTTATACCATAACTACTACTTGAGCTTTTCCCCTTCAAACCATCTTCATTCACTTTCCATTCTTTCCCCACGTTCACATAACACTCATTCTCCAGAAAGACCTTATAATGCATCTGTCTTGCTCTGCAGACGACCCAGGTTGACATTGTAGCCTACTGTATTTAGAAACTGACTGTGTATGATACTTTGGTTTATTCTGAAATTAGTTGAGGTGTTCATCTGAGATATAATGTATACAGAGAAGGAATTTGGTCCTCGTATGAGTCTTTGTATACCATCCCATTGTACTGGTACGTTGGTGTCAGGCATGCACAGGTTTGGTGGTATCTGACTTCTGAGATGTTACTCTGGGTGTGATGTGTTGGATTTTTTTTCCTCCAAATGATCTATATTTAATTCAGAAATAGATAGCACAGTGTTTTTAAGTTTTGGGGAAATAAAAAAATCACAGTATCCCCTTGAAACGTAAGTTTTGGTTGCTTGCCAAAGACAAAACCTGTTATGTCCGGCAAAAGTTTTAGAGAGTTGAGATTGTCGTCTATCTCAAACAGTTTTACAGACATTTTTACGGTGGATTGTTTCATTCATATCTAAATGGAAAATACTTCTCTGGTGACAACTGTGGAGATATGTTTTGTCTTTGTTGTGCCGAGTAATTTTATTCATTCAGCTAAACTATAGTGTAAGAAATCTGTTCTTTCCACATATAAAATAAGGTCAGCAGTTAGATTGTTTTCAATTAAATGATAGACCTTTTAAAGTAATTTTTATTACTTTCTGTTTAAAATGTAGCTGATAGTAGTGAAGTAGCAGATGTCTAGAGAGCTACATGAGGGGACGAACAGGTAGACAGCTGTCTCACATTCATGGTAACATATTACCTAGGCAGTTCCTGAGTCAGAACTGCTGTCTCTCTTCTCTCTTAGCCCTTGGTAGCAAATCAGTTTGTGGTTGTTGTTTTTTTTTTTTTTTTTTTTGTGTACTCTTGTCCATTCACTATTAAGTCACCTAAGTTTTTCATGCTTATATGATAACTTTAACTGAAAGATTGCACAGGTTACTTACATTCTAGTTAAGAATAATGTAGTTTGGTTTTAACAAAGTACATACTAGTTCCATATAATGCCTTATAATTCTTACATTGAAAGAGGTTGGGAAGGTCTGTTAATTATGTCTCCCATCTCAGATGTTGCTCCTTAGTCTCCTGGTACTTCAGGAGTCCTCATTTTAGTCATTCCTTCTGGATTCCTTGTGTTTCCTACCTTTCTGAATGCTTGATGCCCTTCTCTAAACCATTTTCATTTCAAATATGTCTTCCTTGAGGTGAAATAACTGCATGCTGTTTTATGTGGATTTAATCAGTGGTGTAATAACGCTGTCTAGACCTTTGCTAAATAACATCTTGTTCGACTGCGGCTGAACACTGAGTTAACATTTCCATCAATCTTTCTGTAATAACCCCAAGATCTCATTCCTGAATGCATTCTGTAAGTTTATAAGAGATTACTAAGCTTGAATAGTTTCTTTCCCATATGCTATATGCCCATTCCTCTATAAATATTCACACTGTAATTTACCATTTTGTAATTTAATCAGTACATCTTAATGCTTTCTTTTTTCCAGTTCTTCACATTTGGTTCCCCTATTTGCTTCCTTCAGCAGCATCTTCATCATCATCTTCATCACTGCATGTATCAGAACCCAACTAATATTTCTGGGGCGCTCCATTGAGTGCCTACTTGCACCTGTAAAAACTAACCGTAATATTTCAGCTAAAACTTTCTCAAGTTCCTTCAAAGTTTCAAAGCTAAACATCTTCCAGTCCTCACAAATTTTTCTTGTTTTGCTTATTCTCTAATCTCTTCTTCTGACACCTCAGAAGAGATGGATTCATTGACTCTTGCATAAAGAGACATTTCATCCTGGAAATCTCTGAAGGTCTCCCACAGTGAGCACAGATGCAAAAAAAAAATTTTTTTTTTCCTACCAGCTCCTTTTATGTAGTGACTGTCCTATACATTTTCTGACAAGCTTGCTGATTCCAATGTATATGAAAGAGGATTTGTTACTGTTTTACAATTTTTTCCCTCAACTTTTTTTTGATGTACCATAACATGTTTCTGTACTTTCATTTATTAGAGTTCACAATCCTTTCTGTATTCCTCTGATGACAGAATTTTAGCTTTTCAAGATCTGCTCTCAAAACTCTGGTCTGCCACTTAGCTATGAATGTTTCCTTTTTCTTTTTTCTCAGCTACTTTGTGATAGGTGGTAGAAACGTTAAAATAAAATCTTTTATTACTTAAGGTATTTTAAAATTATAAGAAAGGTAGCAGTCTCAATGAAATTGGTTTAGTTAGTGTATATCTGTGCAGGTAATTGTGAATCTGTACTTGATAATTGCAGGTGCAGGATTAATTTGAAATGTCTTTAGTTGCTGAAAAAGTAATAAGGAAATTCATAAATATCAAGAAGATAACAAGGATATGAGTAAGAATTTTTGTGTCTCAGTAAGACATCATATCAAAATAATCTCATATCCTTTTATGACAAGGACAATGCATGATCAAGTTGAAAATATCCTAAGAGAGGTGCAAAAGTGTTTGCATAAAGCTGCTTGAAGAATGGTTTTTAAGGAGGTCCTGTCAGAATAATGTATCCTGTGGGACTTTGCAGGATTATATGCTGAGATTAGGTTTGGGTGGGTTTTCAGTGTTTCATTACTTTGTTTCACAGTTTGTTTATTAATTTCCCAGGCATCACTTTACCTTGAAGGGACTAAAAGTGTGCTGGAGGGTGGCTGTAGAGTTAAAAATGGTATGATAAACTGAGAGATGAGTCTCAAAAAAATAGTGTTACTTGGCAGGATCAGATGCTAAGGAAAAAGTAATCAGTGATGTCATGTTGTATTCAAAAAAGAGACCTTTTTTTTTTTTTAATTTTTTAAAGATTTTTTTTTTTATGGGTCAGAAGTACCTAGTTATTCCTTGGCTTTGAGCCTTGTCTGAAGTTGCACTTGTGTAAGATTGTGAACCATCAACTGCAAAAGGACAACAGAATCTTTAAGGGAAGACTTTTAGGTCTGTTAGTATGAAGTTCAGAAGAGGGGGCAGAAGAGGAGGGTATGTAATCTAATGTATAAAATGTGGACTGCAGAGGATGGTAGAGTGTATTTTTCATACCCATGGCACTTATGAAGTAAGCAAGGGTTTAAATTAAACCAATAAAAATTTACATTGGAGAGTGAACGGACAGGGAGGTGGGGAAATGCTTTAGCTAACATAGCATCAGATTTGAATGCTACTAAGAAGCTGCAAAGTTATCTGTCATTGGACATTTTAGGAAAATCATAAAAACTTATGCCACATAGTTGTGCAGTTACCATGGCAAAGAATAGAATCGGTGACCTATTGAAGTATCTTGTAGATCTCAGGTTCAGTGCTGAACTGGTCTTGTCAACATGAACTTGGGGACTTCTGGTCTCTAATAAAGTAGACCTGAGGCTGTAGAGCCAACCTCCTGAACAGGATACTAACAGCGATAAGGAAATATTAAGTTCTGGTAGAGAAGCTGTCCCTTTTGGGCAGGAGTAATAGTATGAGAGTACAGCTACTCAGACATAGACTGCACCATTGCTTTATTGGGGTGATATGTAGCGACAGAATTTTTACTCACAATGAATGACAGATTTTTAATGAATCATAGATCTGACCTAGTAGAACATCTCTTTCTTCATTAAAAAATCTTTATTTGCTCTGAGGAAAATAAAAGATTAGCTTTGTGATAGTCATGTGTATAAGTTTTGTTCTTTATTCTTCATAGTTATATTATCTTTGCAGATAGTGGTTTTCATATACTTTCAGATAAAGAATTCTCATATTTCTGCTCAAGGAAAATAACAGCATTTTTTTCTTACTTAGTCTTTTAATTAGAAACCCAAAACATTTGGTCTTACTAATGATCTGAAAATAGTCATTTTACCTTTTTCAGAGAAGTACCTAGAAAAGACTACTGTACAAAAAGGTGCAAATTTACCATAAACCTATTAGATTTATGTCATCTACCAGTTTGTATTCTTTTAAATTACCACGTGCATTTTTCTTTTTTGTTTCCTCTTAGGAAAGGAGACTGAGAAAGCCAAAGATCGGTGTGATAAAGCCACTATGAAGCTTCATATGTTGCATAATCAGTATGTATTGGCACTGAAAGGAGCACAGTTACATCAGCACCAGTATTATGATACTACACTTCCTCTGTTACTTGATTCACTACAGAAGATGCAAGAAGAAATGATTAAAGCCCTGTAAGAAGTATTCTTACATATTTTTAAATTGAGGAATTTTTTATGTAGAGTATTCTAATTAAATTATAGGATTATTTTAAAATAATAAGTTGTGATTAATTGTACATCAAGGGATAATAAAAAAAGATGTTTCCATCTTTCAGTTGACAGATGTACATAGAAAAGTCTATCCAAATAAACTAGTTTTGAGTAGTTACTTAAACATTCTAGTAAGACAGCATCTCTCATAAAACTTTAAAATCTTGCAGATTAACTGCAGTTTTTATGGCTGAGCTCATGCTTTGTCCTTCAGCTGGTATACTACGGCAAGTTTATTGCCTCTCTGGTAGTCTTATTTTCATGAAATTTCACCAGCAACAAATTTGGCTTAAACTGGACAATTGTCTTAAAAGTCATTGTGGAGAAGGGCCAGTCAGATGTGTGGTTAATCATATGTGTGGGAGGAGTAACAGGATCATATAAACCTGATCTCACTGTAAGGAATCCAACCTTAGAAATACAATTAAATTTTTCCTGAAAGGCAATTTTTTACATCATTACAGAAGATGTTCAAACTGATGATCTTGGAGATCAGACAGTGAGGACTTTAAGCTGTCTTTTCTAGTTTGTAAACGCCATAATGCCTCTTTTTCTTTCCTGAAGAATGGAAGTTATTTAGGGAGTCTGTTCAGTAGGTCTTTTTCTGGGATGTTATTTAAATCACTTAGCCTAAAATGAAAGGCAGGTTGTTTTTTTTTTTTTTTTTTTTGTAGATATTGTTCATTTAGATGTGAGGCACTCTTCCTTAATTCATTTTCTTACCTTCTCTGAAGTTTTTGTTCATCTTGACTTCAGCACACATGAAATAAGAGAAAGTTTGGGATTTCACACTTTACATGCTTCGGTGGTATAGACACCATTAACTGCCCTACAGTATCATATTAATTCCTTTGATTGTGGTGTAGGTATTAGAAAGAAATAGGCCTTTGTAGTAGTCTGTATACATTCCTTTAATCTTAATTTTGTATGTAAAACCGCAGCAAAAGGCTATGGATAAATTTGTGTGCTGTAATTAAAGTGATATTTCAGAAGTGTGAGATATAATTCAGTGAAGAATTTTATGATGGAACAAAAAACTGTTGAACCAGCTCACCTTTACTATGTCTGGAATAAAAACCTGTAAAAAATATTTCACTGCATAGACATTTTTTGTGAGATCTGAGTGGAAAATTAGTCCTTTCTAGTATCTTTGGTGTATAAAAAGAGGTAATGGTTTCAGGTGTAGAACTTGGTGTGGCCATCTCTGTGAAACATGCTTCCATAATAATCCTGATTTTGCAGATGATTTAGTTCAATAAACTTGAAGAAGTGTAGATTAATACTGCCACTGATTGTTTGTTTGTTTGTTTTGTAATTGACTTAGATTCCCTTTCTCTTCTATATGTTGCTGTAGTCGACATTGACCTATCTTTTCATCACACTTTGAACTAACTTCTGGAACCTTTTCACACATGTTGTTCACAGGCAAGGCAAGATTTAATGCCTTCTCTTGTCTGTTTTCTCCACAGAAAAAATATTAAAAAAATCCAATCACATAACTTTTTACAGAGTAAACATAACTCGAGATTTTATCCAGGAAAAATCTGTGGATACTTTTTTCTCTACATGCTCCTCTGAGCTGTCCAAAATTCATCAGTACTTTAAGAAAGCTCACCCTGCAGCAGCACCTGGCAAACTAGCAAGTTTATTAAATATAAAAATTGAATACAAAATAATTATGAGAGTTCATTTATGGAAAGCTGAAAGTTAAAGAGGGTGTTCTGAGGATGTTACTATTAAGAGTAGTGGCACAATATCACCTAATCTTTTACTGTTCCCTATTTACTAGGTTTTTCCCACTCTTGGAAGCAGGTAAAGACAAAGCTGGGTGGCTTTTTCTTTCTTACAGGAACTTCTTGCTTGATTGTGTTTCTTCTTGTAAATACATACTAACTTGTGATGTATGCTTATTTTTGTCTGAATAACAAATCATAAAATAAATATATGAAAGATAGTTAAAACAATAAAGAAAACCAATTTTTAAAGAAAATACATACTATTTTGTGACTCATTTTTCCTTATGCCAGAATGTATTTATTTTGTCAGTCAGAACATGAAAAGCTTTAGTGTAGGTTATAACAAGCATGATAAGTCATTTATGAAGAATAGTGTAATCAGTGAGCTGTATACATCCCTTTTTCTTGTAATCTGTACAGTTTTGAGTTTAGCTACCCTGTATGTAGACGCACTGAAATCAATACAAGAAGCATGGTCTTCTCACTCGTAGCCAATCTGTAAAGAAAAGGCCACAGTTGGTCTGTTATATCTTTGAGTAATATATTGTCTTATTTTTTCCCTTTTTAGCCAGTTGCAACAAGAATTTGTAGAAACAGCAAATTGAAAGTTTGAAGCATCTTCAATGCCATCTATGCCTTCCGTGCCATGTTATACACTAGAATTTTTTTTCCTCTCTAGAAAAGGAATCTTGGATGAGTATAGCCAGATCACCAGTCTTGTAACAGAGGAGATTGTGAATGTCCATAAAGAGATCCAGACCTCAGTTGAACAGATAGACCCAAATTCTGAGTATAATGACTTCATAGATACTCACAGGTATACATACTCACCTTGGTATGCATGTTCATGTTTCTTCCTAACAAAATCCTGCATTAAACTGCAACACTGCTTAATTGATTAGAGTTTAATTTGTTTCTATTTGGTTCCTTTTACATTGTTACTTGTAAAGCTGTATCTTAGTTTGAAAATTGTTCTATTTGCATGTACAGAAAGCTGGATGAAATTCGTTTTTAACCTGACTGTTTCTTTAAACATCCTTCTCTTTGGCTGGCAAAAGAAAAGCAAAATTCCAGTTACCATTATTACATATGAAGAGCCATAACTTTGGTGCTGACAGCAGACTATACATGACAGTCCAAATTCAGTGTGAGGCAGTTTATTGTTTATTTGCATGCAGTTTGCATTCTGGGCTAAGATAAGTTCCTCTGTTTTATTTCTCTTATTGTCCAAATTCTAGTTTAAAATGAATTCCAGGTACTACTGTGTAATCTGCAGTTATTGCAGGTTGAGCCATGCCTGAGACTGCTGAGTAGGCAGATAATGGAAGAAAGATTTTTACTTTAAAAATGAACCATGTTTGCCATTTACTGAACTGTTACTCTGTACTAGTATATGTAGAAATAGTCCTAAGACTTCTTGCATTAACTTTTTTGTTGTTATGTGCAAATTGATAATTATCACATGTGGGTCATTATAGCAGTATCAGCTAACAGTGGACCTGCTCACATCGATAGCCCTTATGCTGTGATCTTAATTCAAAGAATTGTATGCCATTTTATTATCTGGTATGATTTTAAGACTATGTTCTTTATTCAGAAGAAAAAGAATATGTATCTAGTTGCTACCTTTTCTTTATTCCATATGTAATTCTAACTATATTCTAATTATTAAAATAATTCAAAACATAATAATTTGCTTTATGATCTATGCAAAGATATACGTTAATTTTGAAAACATAACATTTATTTACTAAATTAGGTCATCAGAAGTTGTTGAACAAGAAATAGAGTTTGATACGTCTTTACTAGAAGAAAATGAAAACCTTCAAGCTAATGAGATCATGTGGAATAATCTAACAGCGGAGAGTTTACAAGTCACGTAAGTCTGTCTTTACAGGCCTTTCATCTTTGTAAATGCTGTTATACGTTGTGTCTAGGCCCACTCAGATCATTGCATAGCTGTGTCCTGATTTTTAAGGTCCGGTTCATAAAAATAATATTTTCACACTGTAAACTCTTTTCCATGCTGTTTTTATTGTTCCTTTACAGAAAATAATCCTCCTCACTTTCCCCAAAAATTTGTCAGCACTTTCAATATATATTCCTCTCCTTGCCAGTTAATTTATTCGATGCCCCAAATCCATCATGAATCCTCCTTATGAACATACTGATTCATCTTCCCAAAAGTGTTCCCACATTCAGTACTCTGGGAGAAATACTGAAATCTTCTGATGAAACCACTAAGTACCGTGATGTAGTCAGTGATTTAAATTGCTGCGCAGAATATTTTTATGAATATATTTATTCCACTTATAAAGTAAGTGTTTACTTTCATTTTCCTTCCAAAGGAAATGCTTATTCGTTATTATAACTTTTAAAATACATTAACTTACTAAAACAGATGTAGCTGTTGTATTGCATTTCATGGAGTTTTTAGCTATTCAGGGTGATAAACTACCTGCCTGTATTTTGTTAGTATATTGCCTAGTTAAACCTTTTCATCACTTCTACCAGCTTCACCTTTAATCATTTGTTACTGGGGAACAAATATCCTGCTGAGTTTATCATGTTCTTTTTATATTTTATGTATATATAACATTATTATATATAGCCTCAACTTTTGACATAAAATGGTCCGATACAGTTACTTGTGAGATTGCAACTATTATTTATACATTTATTTTTTTTATATTAATCATAGCAGTTAAAAATTCAGAATCATTTGTTGATGATGTTCTTGTTGTCTCAACTGTATTTCAGTGCATGTTTGGCTTATTTGAAGTTTTTTTTCCTTTAGAAATCATAACTAATCCAAATTAAACATCAGTGGTGTGTTGCGTTTTTTTTTTTAAGTTTTTAAAAAATTGTTATCTGCTTAATGAAACTGTGATCCTTATTTCTTGTAGGTTTTTCTGAAAACCAAAATCAGTGAGGTATTTCAGAAATAAACACATTGCAGTGTCTTCTGCAGGTTATTTGAATCCCTGTGTATTTTCAATATGGCAGAATGTCTGGATTCTATTAATTAATTTTCAGGGTTATTAATCATCCTCTCTTTTTTCCCATGCAATCTGATTAATTTTTGTATATATATTCCTTAGTATGTATTGAAATAACCTTTTTAATATGAAATTTCAGCCTTCTTAGATATACTTCTTAGTCCTGAATCAGCTTCATCTTTCTTATGAAAGGATCCCTTGATAATTAGTGTTTCTGTTTATAATAAATTCTGGATAATTACTAAATTGAGATTATTCCAGCTTCAGCTATGTAAATATTGTACATCTAGACATACTTCAGCACAGTAACAGGAAAAATACATATACTGACTCCATTTTCAATAAAGTATTACAATTTTTTCAAAGATTCTGCCTTCCATAACTCAAAAAGAGAAATAACTTCTCGTTCAGCTTGTCCTCTGTATCCCATTGTTTAGAAAGAAGGCATCAGCATGTTAAAGTGAAAGAGATGAAATTCTGCTTTTCTAGTAAAAAATTCTGATGAAATGCATATTTGTGTATATAAATATGTGTTTGCATACTTGCCTACATATATGTGGTATGTCCTGTTATAAATCTTACATTCATACACTTTAAATTCTTCTGGGAATTTGAGAAAGAAATTTTAGGGTGTGGCATTATTTTTGGAACAGGAATCAAATCGCTCTTCTAAGTGTTGCTGTCTTTTAGGTGTTCACTTTCTGGTATTCATCTAGGTCTCTGAGCAAAAAAGTTTAACTGTATTAGGTCAAACCAAAGATTGACCTAACCAATTTTCTTCTCTCTTACATTAGCCAACAGGGAAAAGTCTAGGGAGAAGAACAGAATGATCATGCAATGCTGTTTCCTCAGAATGATCTCTCATCCTCCTGTAATTTTCAGCTCAGAGATGTTTTGAGAGAGAAGTAGTATTTGTTTATAATAGCCTTAGAGGCATTTTTCTTTCATTAATTTGTCCAGTCCATTTCAATATGTACATATATATCTAGGTTCCATAGAATTTTTGTCAAGGAATTCCAGAGGTTAACTTCATATTATCTGACCCTGCTACTTCTTAGTTTCATTTTATAGCTCTTAAGATCTTGTTTTGGAGGAAATTAGGAACGACCTACTCCTTTCCACCTATGATATTGTAAACTTCTGTCATATTCCTGCTCTTTTTCAGAGCTGTCTTCAGCTTTAGTCTGTCCTTTCACAAAACTTACTCATATCCTTTGTCAAGCTTGTCGTCTTTATTTGAATATTTTCAAGGTTACTGTATTGTTTTTCAGATGAATGGCCAGAATTACACAGGTAATGCAGATGCATAATTTAGAGAGAGGCACACTGAGGTTTCCTGTATTCTTGTTCTGCTTAGTTTTTAACAAAACCTAGAGAATCATTCTGTTTGGTTTTCTGTCCACTGCAAGTGTATCAATCCAGTGTTTTCAGAGCTTAGGGTGTTTCACTACATAAATAAAGCTTTGGATTGTTTTCCTCCCTCTCTAATTAACAATACAATTACTGCGTATTGTAAGATCCAGAATAATTCTTCACGTTCAGCTCGTTCCGTGTACCTCAAACAACATTGTTCTGTCAGCATTCTTTGACACTTTTTAAACTGTCCTTTTATTTGGATTATTATGAACATATTAAGCAGTGCAGATTTTTGTGAAGCTCCACTAGCTCCTGTCACTGTAGAAACTGTTTATTTTTATCCTCTTAGTCCTTCTTTTTAATTGCTTTTTAGTGCAGGTGAGAACCCTTCCTTTTAGAACTGCTTTGTTCTCTGTAACTGCTTTTGCTTATATACGCTGTTAACTGCATTTTAGATGTATTCTATTACAGTCTTGCTTTAAAATCACTACAGCCAAAAAAACCCCCACAGGTATTTGCATCAGCTTACTGCGTATGACTAGAAATTCACAAGTAAGATAAGCATATTGCATCCTTTATCCATACATGATGATGACTTCTAAAAAATCCATTCTGTATGTGCTGAAACAATAGAAATTTGACTTGTTCTTTAGTATTGAGATCATGGTATTGGATCTTCAAAGTACTACCTCATTAGGTTTCTGCAGAGGAGAACTACCTTCAGTATCTACCAAATAAAATAAATCCGGTACACATAGTGGATTTATTTTGCAGACTTCTAATAGATTCAAAGTAGTATATTGATTCAGAATTGGTAATTTTTGGTTGAATCAGTTGTTTTATTGAGGATGCGAGAGAAAAATGACAGCTTTATATACATTACTCTTTAAGAGTTTTCATAAAATATATTTTGAGGAAATGTGATGAGAAAACTGTCTTAGGTTTTTAGGTAAGTTTATGTTTATGAATAAAGCTTTAACAGAGGTAGTTAATAGTCAGTGTTGACTAGCTAACCTTCCTAAGTAGTGAGAGAGGTGTGGTGTCTCCTGATAAATGTTGATGACTGATGACTAATACTGAGATATTCTGGAAAGAGTAACAGAATAAAAGTTTATGCGTCAAAGATACATGTGTTAAAAACTGAGAGGAGGCAACCAGAATTAAGTGTTGATTGGTAGATATATGAATTAATATCCAAATGAATTTTAAAAATCCTCTGAAATATAAGTTCTGTAACCACAAACATTTATTGATATTTGAAGCAGAACAGTGCTAATGACTAAAGAGATATAAAAAGAAGCTTTCCTGGTAGCCAGAACCTAGTTTGAAGATAGCGGCTTTCTAGATTTTATGGGGTCTCATTTTATGTGTTCTCATGCCACTGAAACCTGACAAATTGGGATTGTGTGGTTGTTTAAACTAATCAGGATTATAGTGACTAACTGGTTAGTAATAAAAATGCTTTTGTAAACTGATTTTATCCAGGAGGCAAATATGAGGCCACAAGAAACTTCCTTTGACAAACTACAACCAAGATGAAACAAGGGAGATGCAGAGATGTGAATTCTAACCAGTTTGAATGAAAATTATTGTTTAAAACAAAGCATATAAGTTGAATACAAGGAGACAAGTTAGTTTAGTGTGTGTATATTGTTGCTTTGTTTTGTTTTCTCTAAGACAAATACAAGCATCCTAAAGTATCTCAAAAGTTTTAGGGAGAATTACATCAGCTTTCAATCTGATGCTGCAATATAAAATTTGATAGTTTTGAATTTATAAAATATTTTAATATTTTGTTTCTGCGTGTATACATTCATACCTTCCAGTGATGAACAGCCTTATTAATTTGGTTTTAATTTCTTGAATATTGGTGCTTGATCACTAGTTGTAACATCTGCTTCCTGTAAATCAAGTGGTAAGCCAATACAGTGTTGATTAACGTTTTGATTAGAAAGCTAATCAAAAAGCAGTATCTGCAGTTACAAAATTGGTAATTACTTTCTTAGCAAGGTATTTAAAGAAGAAAGTTTGTTGATATTAAATTAGAGACCCAGTAAGAAAATTGTAATTTCTGAGAAGTTCAGCATACAGACTGCAATAGCCTAAAATCAGTAAAATATTTATTAAAAAGGGTGCTGTGGGGATTTTATTGGAGAGAAATGTTTCAAGGATTTCCCTTATCTCAAAATAAACACATACATTTACGTGTTCATTTGGGAAATAAACTTTTATCATTCACTATATGGCTTTTTCTATATCAATTTAAGTCTTCCAAGATTCAGAACTGTCTGAATCAAGAATATATTTATTCAGCATTGTATAAAATATATTGAGAGGAGAGAGAACTAATTCAATATTTAGAGTCAAATCATTCAGTTTGCTATATATGGACATAGAACATGGATCCTAGGTATCCAGAGTCCATGCAGATTACTCTCAGTTGACCGTCTGTGCCACTTCCCAGTATGTAATGGTTTTGGGCAATATATCTGTGCAGTGGTAAGTACTAAATGTATTTTGCCTT